GACTTTAAGCATTGTGTTTGTGAATACCACGTGTATTATGATACATTTATATTTATTGTACAAGACTTTGTCTTAAATTGTGAAGTATTTTTGAATGTATGAAATTTCGGTTAAGTGAAGGTGAAAATGGATTCTTGTAGTCAACTCCAAAATTAATAAGGAGCGAACTTAGCATCAATTTTTGGTTTCATGGTATAATCCAACCTTGTGTGATTCACATTTAAGTTCACCCATAACATTAAATGAAACTCAGCATTTAATTGATTAACCTTGAGAGTTCAATCGAGCAGTGAATTAGAGGAGCCCAAAATCTGTTGTCCCAAACTAGCTATCCCACTATACCACTTTTGACACCTTGGAACATCATTTCTTAGCAAATGGGAAGGCGCCAGCACATTTTTTTACACTTTGGCACATTACACCATCGCGTCTTCCCATTTGCTAGGAGTAGGTGATATGTCAAAATGTCAAGAATGTATTGGTTGGCAGCAAGTTCAAGACAATGGATCTCAACTCAAATCAGAGATGGGAATTTACTGAACAATGCACTACTAGATTGTATTAGACACTATAATAGATAAGATTTAATGTCTTTTACTCTCTGAGTACTGTCACGCATTGTTAAATCCACTCGAAAAAACTTAGCCTCTGCTGACAACAATGAAAAAGAGTTTTTTAGGAGGGAAATGAGTTTTGGTATAGTGATTTTTAGGAGTATGTGTGATTAAAAAGTAGAAAAAGTTTTGGGTTTATGTATAGAATATTATATTATGAAAATGTATGGTAGAAAATGAGTTTGAGAGAAGGTGTTTTGTAAAAATGGTTCTCAAACAAAATGGTCTAGAGCTGTACTTCATCAGGTTTTGTTCACAAGTGTGCAGTATCTCATTTGTTCATCTCTACATACTGCAGCTTAAATGTTCTTTGTTTTCTGTTATGACATCTACGGTGTCCTACGAGTTTTCTTTAATGTGAAACTCAAGCTTTACATATTCAGCGTTCTTTGGTTACATGATTAATTATTCGGGAGATGCTATATGTACTAAATCATTTACCAAATGGATGATCGAATTGACAAGTGTCGTGCCCTTATTGGAGTGGACAGACGCCCCTCCAATAGGGGGCGCCACTTGTCAATTCGGTCAAAAATTAGGTAAGACATTTGGAACAAGTAGATTAATTTTAATCATTATTGTGTTGTGCTTGTCAACATTTATCATTACTGTTAACTGTTGGTCGAGAATTTTGTTAATTCATTTTCTTCGCCGAATTTATATGTAGTGCTGATGCATTTGATTTGTCACGATCTATCAAGAAAGAGCAAATTACAGTGATGCTTGTGAGGCAACTTGGTGTTATTCGTGTTGCTTTATTTACCTTGTCTATTCAATGTGGCCAAAGGTCCTATAATTGGAGAGTTGCAATCTCTGTTTATCGATTCCCTTAGCTGTCCTCTATTTAAATCTTGACACCTTACTACATCATTTTGGAATAGGCAATAGGAAGATGCCATGTTAAATGTGATGTCACTTGTCGCGTACTGGATTGCATCTCGTTATTGGTTATTTCAAGCTGATGGAGTGACGCATCAAGATTTGAGCTAAGAATAACTAAAAGAACATCCGAATGGTGACAATATATCTTGAATCAATAATGACCAACTTGTTCTAAACTAGGGTGATGAAACAAGTGGTCATATGAAGGTACAATTGTTATACATGTTTCAGTCCTTTTTTTGGCGAAGAATGTATTTTGGAATAGTAGATTGATGAAGAATATGTGGTTAAAAAATAAAAAATAAAAATAAAAAAGTTTTGAATTTGCTTGTAATATTATTTTATTGAAGAATGTATAATTAAAAATAAGAGAAAAATATATATTTTGAACATAATGATATAGGACAATAAATTCCTATGTAAGAATTGTATTTTCAATGAAATGTGCAATTTTGGGACTTTCCTCAAAATGGGGGATTTCTCTCTTCCTTGCCACTCTTAGCAAGCTGCTTTCTAGCGAGTCTTTCTTGAAGATGAAGAAGTGGATAAGATGAGATGTGCACTGTTCGCAGTGTTTTCTCGCCCGTCATTGGAGAAGCAGATCCACAACCAAAAGCAGAAGCAGGGATCCGGGAAGACAACCCAAGCTAGAGAAGCAAGACTTCATTTTGGCTTTCCTTGATTAACAGGCCGAAAAGGACTTTGGGACCTGAGACTAAATCAATAACAATGGACGTCGATTTCAACAAATTCGTGTAGGCAGATTTCTAAATTTGAAAAGTATTGGACTCTAAATTAATAAAATTAAGAGCATATTCAAGTGACTCTCTTTTTTATAGAGCATATTTTGCAATTTGGGGATTATTTATAAATTTAGAGTATGTTTGATTAGCAAGGAAAATATCACCCAGAAAAAAAAAATTTCCATCTTTTGTGGAAAATAAAAAATACCTCTACCCAAGAAAAATGTTTTCCTTAAAAACAAGGAAAATTAGGCATATTTTCAGAAGTTGAAAAATATTTTCCATAGAAAAAAATAGCAATCAAACACTCAAAGTAAGAATTTGGGTGGAAAACTGATATTTTCCATGGAAAATAAACGTAATCAAACACACCTTTAGAGAGTAAATTTTTTTAATACTTCAACGATCTCTTTATCTTTAACACTTCATTTTACTACTCTCAATATATATTATTATTATTATTATCTTTTATTTTCACCACTTCAATTGTAAAATGTGAATTTGAAGAGTCTTTTGGAACATAATTTTAAAGGTTGACAAACCTCAAGGAGATGTCTAAATCCAAGAGACCATGTAAACAATTGGTATAATTTCTTTAGCATTAGTAATTTAGCACAGTTGAATACAAAATAACACATTTGATAAAGAAAAATTTGGAGTCGAATCCCTAATTTTTTCAATAAAGAAAAAGTTGTGACACATCCTTCAAGTTTAGAGAAGCATCCTTTTCGAACATAGTTGATAGACACATTTAAACAAGTCATTAACAAAAGTATCTTATGAAACAATCGATGAACAAGATTCAATCTATATTCAATGTCGACTTCAAAATCTGGTTGGATCTAGATGTCAGCAGAAGAAGTCAAACCACCGTCCATGTGTATAGACAATGTAAGACACTAAGATTGTTGCTCCAATTGATGGTGTAACGACCATATGTACTCCGACGATCAAGTCAAAATTTGAATTGGGTGTGAGAGATAAAATGTAGAGAACACTGGCTTTGGTGAAAGAGATTTCACTAACTTTATATCAAAAATAAGCAATGTATATATAATGAAATATGAGAAGTGATATGTACCTTTAAGCGTTATAGGTAACATGTTTCATCGCGTTAGTCACATCAAATATCTTACGGTCCAAAAAAATGTTATCAGTTTGTGGTTGGCCAAGACCTTGTCATGGTCGATCAACGTGTTTGCTATAGTTTTGTGTCGGCTCGGATCGAGGCAAAGGCCTGAATAGTGGAACACTGGTTGTTTATTTAGTTTTAATGGGTACATAATGCATCAAGTGAAATACTGGTGTAACATTCAATAATATGAAATAGTATAATTTGTAGACCTTAGAATATAATCTTAAATAAAGAAAAATACTAAATTATTCTTAATAAAGAAATGTGAACGATAATTAATATATAAAGACATCTCTAATGCATTCTGTGGACTGTAATACGTGTAGGATTTAAATAGATGAATTTCTAGCCGGCATGACATCAATGTTGAATAGAAGACCAAGTCTAAAGTTGGTCTCCAATGAGTTCCATCTATGTTCTAATATCTTCACTTACATGTCTTGTATTAATATAAAATAAAGATAATGGAAAAAGAGTGGAAGAGAAAAAGTATATGTAATATTTCAATATAAACATAATCAATTAAATTGTTGAGACAGTGTGTCTAATGAAGCATCTACATCTAGACCTCTATCTAAATATTGTCTATTTTTTGTCTACCAAGTCTGCTTGACAGAGTTCGTCAGCTTGCATAGAAAATGTCTTTTTCTATTTTTTTTTCTTTTTTTAAACACCAATTATGTTTGCTTGTGATAAATTTTTGAAGCAATTCACAATTGTATTGGAATATGGTAGCTAGTATGGTTATTTGTGCTCTAATGGACTAAAATATTGTTAAGAAGTAATATTTCATTAAAATATACATTTTTGGATAATGAATTATTAAACTAGTATGATATGTTAAATATATAATTAAAATTAATTATTGACAAAATGGTGGTTATATTGCCACCACAATATTTATTTAATACCCTATATTTTAATTGCAGTTAAACTCATCAGTCTTTGTTCATTGTAACAATTATTTTCTTAATTTTTTCGTTAAATTCTTATTTTTAATAATTCATTAATTAGTACGTCTCATTCTTAATAATGATTTATATCAAAATATTTTGTTTCCATACTTTGAAATGAATGTAAAATATTTTTTTGCACTTTTTATTTATTTTATTAAAATATTATGGAAAAATAAATTGTTTTATGCCATTTCAATAGACTTTTAGATATAAAAATGTTATCAAATACAAAATGTGATAATTAATTAAAATTTTGAAGATAATAATGTCTTGAGAAATCGTTAAGAACATAAATAGTAAATGGGTGAAGATTAAGAATATTAAATCCAATTAAAATATGATGCAAGAAATAAAAATTGTGGTGTAAATATAATTACGTTGACTAAAGAATAATAAGTTAAAAACCAAGGTATCAAAGGACAAATTGATTTGACAAAAATTGGTTGGCTATTTTTTTTTTTTTTTTCAAAGTGTCCGACTTCAACAAATATCTACCCCATTTTTTAACCTTGTCTCTAAAGCATTATTGTTGACTAAAATCTAAATTAGAGTTTAATGGTTGAACCCCAACCTTGAGTGTTCCACTGTCCCACCCCTGAAATAAGAGCTTGCCCGTATATTGATGTCCACAAAGAATTAAATTCCATATCCCAATAAACAAACTCTCAAAACACGGATATCTAAATTAGAGTTTAAACTAGGTGAAAGGTTGCGAGAGCAAGAGACTAGAACTAGCAAAGCAGTCGTTGGAAATTCAGTTGCCAATTCATGAATGGCCCATCGCAATCTCTGTCCAAAACTTTGAAACGCCTTTTCCCAACTGCTTCTGGACAATGTGAGTCACTCTTACACCACTGCGCCACCGCCAAATCCCTGCCAACCACCAAGAAACTCCACGCCCATGTTATAACATTAGGCCTGCTATCCGACCATACCCACTTTCTCTCTTTGCTGATCTCCGCGTACGCAATTTGCGGCCAGGTGAATTACGCCTGCAAACTGTTTGATGAATTGTCTGATCGTACCTTGCTTTCCTACAAGGCCATGATAAGAATGTACACTGAAAACGGGTTTCCTCTTGGGGCGCTCAAACTGTTCGTGGAAATGCTCGAGTCTTGTAGAAATTATCCGGATAGGTATACGTACCCATTTGTTATTCGAGCTTGTGGGGATTTGGTGTTGCTCGATTTGGGTGTTGTGGTTCATGGGTTGACCGTTAAAAGTGGGTTCGGGACGGGGACTTTTGTGGGGAATTGTTTGTTGGCAATGTATATGAAATGTGGGGATAAAGATGGGGCTAGAAGAGTGTTTAATGCAATGAAGGAGAAAGGGGTGGTTTCTTGGAACACGATGATCAGCGGCTATTTTAGGAATGACAGTGCTAAAGAGGCCGTGATGGTTTTCAGGGAAATGGTGAATGGTGGAGTAGAGGCTGATTGTGCTACGGTTCTTTCGGTTTTGCCAGCTTGTGGTTATTTGAAGAACTTGGAAGTGGGGAGAGAGGTGCATTTATTGGTGGAGGAGAAGTGTTTAGGGAAAAGATTGGCAGTTCAGAATGCTTTGATGGACATGTATGTAAAATGCGGAAGAGTGGATGAGGCAAGTAGAGTTTTTTATGGGATGGTGGAGAGGGATGTGGTGACATGGACTACTATGATTAATGGGTACATATTGCACGCTAATTGGACAAGTGCAGTCGAGCTGTGTCAAATGATGCAGATTGAAGGTGTGAGGCCTAATGAGGTGACATTGGCTTCACTTCTTGCAGCATGCACGAATTTGCCTGATTTGAGGCTTGGTAGATGTTTGCACGGTTGGGCAATCAGGCATAAGCTTGAATGTGATGTTAATGTTGAAACTGCACTGATCGACCTTTATGCAAAATGTAATTGTGTTAAACTTAGTTTCAGGGTTTTCTCCAGGACATCTAAAAAGAGGACTGTACCATGGAATGCAGTTCTCTCCGGGTGTGTTCATAACAAGCTTGCAAGAGAATCTTTAGAACTTTTCAAACAAATGCTGTTAGAAGAAATTAAACCCGATGATGCAACCTGGAAAAGTCTCCTTCCTGCGTATGCCATGGTAGCAGACCTGCAGCAGACGTTGAATATACATGGTTACCTGGTAAGAGCAGGGTTTATTTCCAAGACTGACATCGCCACTGGTTTGGTTGATATATACTCGAAGTGTGGAAGCTTAGAATTAGCTCACAAACTCTTCGATGGGATCTCCAAGAAGAATAGGGACATTGTTTCTTGGAGTGTGATAATAGCTGGTTATGGAATGCATGGACACGGCGAGGTTGCTCTCTCTCTTTTCAATCAGATGGTTCAATCTGGGGTCGAACCTAATGAAGTCACCTTTACTTCTGTTTTGCACGCCTGCAGCCATGTGGGCTTGGTGGATGATGGCTTAAAGTTATTTAATTTCATGCACAAAAATTACCAGGAGAGTCTTCGAACTGATCACTACACTTGCATGGTTGATCTTCTTGGTCGTGCTGACCGACTTGAAGAAGCTTATGAACTGATAAAAAGTATGCCTTTTAAACCAAACCATTCTGTTTGGGGTGCATTACTCGGTGCTTGTGTGATTCATGAAAATGTTGAACTGGGAGAGGTGGCTGCAAACTGGCTGTTCGAGTTAGAGCCAGAAAACACCGGAAATTATGTATTAATGGGAAACATTTATTCTGCACTAGGAAGGTGGACAGACGCAGAAAATGTTAGACGTATGATGGATAACATTGGATTAGTAAAAGCACCTGCTCACAGTGCAGTCGAGGTGAGGAACATGTGAATTCTCTTTGATGAGATTATATGAAAGGGTAGAGTAGACCCGAGGCTCTAAAGGAAAATATCACCTATACACATACGAAGCGGATGCAAATCATTAGGGTGAAGGTTGTTAATTAGTTCATGGACAGAGTCAGAAAGTGATCTGGGCCACTCAAAAAAGGAGAGATGCAGTGGTCGATTAGATTGGGCTTGTAAATTTAGTATATTGTGGTGGCAATTGATAGAAGATTTGATAAATCAGATTTGAAAGAAATCAACAGATCCTTTCAACAAAATTTCAATGCTCCACGTTGAATAATAGAGAACAAGAAAGCGGAGGCGTACCTTGATCCTAATTGTAATTGATTTTGAACGGATTACAATCTTCCAATTGATTCGTGATTTTCCTTATGAATTCTTAAAACTCTCTGTTGATGGTGATGCAGAGGTTATGGAAAAATCACGTCAATTGGGGACTATGACCCTATGATAAATAACTGCTAGGCAGTTACCATCTTTTGTTTGTTTTAAATTGGCCCCTCATCACCTCTACACTTTAATCCCATAATAATTGATACCCATTAGTTCAAAATTAAATTCATTGGATCACTTTAATGGACTAAAACTATAAGATAGCAACGCACACTTTAATCATATACATGTGTGGCCCCAATTGATAATTTTTTTTTCCAACAATCTCCCACTCGGCCATACATGTAATCTTTTAAATGTACACAACCTTATGAGCTCAACATTTGCTATCATAATTAAGGGTATTTCCAAACAATCTCGTCCATTAGTCATATTGATGTAGGATCAAACTGATTTTCGTCACACCTAGTATGACCACGTATACCCTTACAACCAAAAGACATAGATCAATCATGGAAGCGTAGCATGAAAATTACATGTTATTTCCAACTGATCCAACCTTATATCTTAAGTGAGATCAATACTGAATATAATAACAGAGTAAAATGAACTGAATACTTTATTTCTGTACAGAAAAATATCCAAATACACAAATGTGTCCAATTAAATATAAGGCAATAAGAATACAAACTCCCACTAAAACACGATATCCTTGGGTGACAATCCCTTAGAAAGCGGATCCACAATCATGGAGTTCGTTCCAATGTGCTCTATGAAAATTTGTCCACTCTGTACTCTTTCCTTCACGACCAGGAATTTAATGTCAATGTGTTTTGACTTGGATGTGCTCCTGTTGTTGTTGGAATACAAAACTGTCGAGTTATTGTCACAATATAACTTTAGTGGTCTTTCTATGTCGTTCAAAATGCGCAGCCCAGTGACAAAGTTTCGCAGCCATATTCCTTGGTTAGATGCCTCATAGCATGCTACAAACTCTGTAGCCATGGTAGAAGAAGCTATGAGTGTTTGCTTGGCACTCTTCTAGGAAACAGCTCCTTCAGCTAGCAGATAGATATAACTTGATATAGATCTCCTGCTGTCTTGGCATCCAGCAAAATCAGAATCGGAGTACCCTGTGATCTCTAACGGATCCGATCTGTTATATGTGAGCATGTAATCCTCTGTTCTCTTTAAATATCTCATAACCCTTTTGGCTGCTTTCCAATGATCCATTCCAGGGTTGCTTAAATATCTGCCTAGCATTCCAACAATAAATGCTATGTCTGGACATGTACAAACTTGAGCATACATTAGACTCCCAATAGCTGATGCATAGGGAATCTTCTGCATTTCCTTAACTTCAAGGTCATTTTGTGGGCATTGTTTGAGACTAAATTTGTCTTCCTTACCGACATAGGTGTCACCTGGTTTGCAGTCTTACATGCCAAACCTCTTAAGTACTTTATCGATATAGCTCTTTTGTGACAATCCAAGAATACTTCGAGAACGATCCCGATGTATCTGAATCCCTAATACAAAAGAGGCGTCACCAAGATCTTTCATCTCAAAATTCCTTGATAAAAATCTCTTGGTTTCGTGCAACATGCCTATATCATTAGTGGCAAGCAGTATGTCATCAACATAAAAAATCAGGAAAATATGCTTACTCCCACTAAACTTGTGATACACATAATCATCAACAACATTCATCTCAAAACCAAATGAGATAATTACTTGATGAAATTTGTGGTACCGTTGACGGGAAGCTTGCTTGAGCCCATAGATGGATTTCTTAAATTTGCAAACCATATTCTTCGGGTCTCCAGACACAAAGTTTTCTGGTTGCACCATATAGATCGTCTAGTCAATGTCGCTATTGAGAAACGCCATCTTAACATCCATCTGATGTAACTCAAGGTCAAAATGTGCAACAAGTGCCATAATTATCCTAAAAGAGTCTTTCGTTGAAACTGGAGAGAAAGTCTCTTTGAAGTCGATATCTTCCTTTTGGGTAAAGCCTTTAGCCATAAGACGAGCCTTATATCTTTCCACATTACCTTTCGAATCCCTTTTGGTTTTAAAAATCCATTTGCAACCGATGGGCTTCGCACCTTCTGGTAACAGGACAGGTTCCCAAACTTTATTGTCTTGCATAGACTTATACTCCTCATTCATGGCATCAATCCATTGTCGAGAGTTAGAACCCTGCATGGCCTGATGGAAATTGATTGGATCATCCTCCATCATTCCATTGTTTTCCTCATGTTCTTGGAGAATACTATAAAATCATCCGGAATAGCATTTTTCCTTTCTCTCGTGGATCTTCTTAATGGCATTAGTTCTTGACGTTGTTGAGTTTGCACTTCTGGAATAATTACCTCATTTTGGGTGGAAAGTTCTTCAACATTGTCTTGTTGAGGTTCTGGATATACTTCTTGATCAATGACAGGAATAGAAACATGTACATTGTCAAAAGTAATAGTAGGACTCGAGATCGATCCTCCCTCAACTTCTTCCTCAAAGACAATGTCTCTAACCTTATATCTCTCCCCAAACTCAACATCCTCAAAAAATGTTGTAGTTCCTATTTCAAAAATTGACTTAAGTGTGGGATCATAAAATTTGTAGCCCCTAGATCGTTCAGAATAGCCAATAAAGTAGCTGCTTACTGTTTTGGAGTCCAATTTCTTTTCATGTGGCCTATAAGGCCTAACCTCAGCTGGACATCCCCAAATGTGAAAATGCTTTAGACTAGGCTTTCTGCCTGTCCAAAGCTCATAAGGTATTTTAGCAGCAACCTTAGTTGGTACTCTGCTCAGAATATAAGCTGCGGTCTTTAATGCCTCTCCCCAAAGTGATTTTGGTAAGTTTGAGTGATTAATCATACTCCTTACCATGTCCTTAAGAGTTCTGTTTCGTCTTTCAGCTACATCATTCATGCTAGGTGATCCTGGCATAGTGTATTGAGGGACGATTCCACATTCGTCTAGGTATTTGGCAAATGGTCTTGGACATTGTTCACCTGATCCATCATATCTGCCGTAGTACTCACCACCACGATCAGATCTAACGTTCTTTATCCTTTTGTTGAGTTGATTTTCAACCTCAGTTTTAAAAATTTTGAACATGTCCAATGACTCAGACTTTTCAAGAATGAGATACAGGTACCCATAACGTGAGCAATCGTCTATGAATGATATAAAATATTGTTGACCATTTCAGGAAGCCGTAGGGAACGGTCCACAAATATCTGTATGTATCAATTCTAAGACATCCGAAGTTCTGTTAGCACCTAATCTCTTTGTTTTGGTCTGTTTTCCCTTGATACAATCAATACATGCATCAAAATCTGTAAAGTCAAGGGAATTTAAAATACCATTTGACACAAGTCGTTCAACTCTAGGCTTAGATATGTGACCTAAGTGCTTGTGCCATAATTTTGCTAAATTTTCTTTATTTAATTTGCGTTTAGTACCACGTGATTTCACATGCAAGGTTTCATTAAATGATGCAATAATATCAAGCAAATATAGGTTATCATATGTAGATAACAAACCAGTACCAATAACATTTGAATTTAACAAAAGACTAAACTGATTGTTTCCAAATGAACAACAATAACCTACTTTGTCCAACGAAGAAACAGAAATTAAATTCCGCCTAAAAGACGGTACAACGAAGGTGTCTTTCAAATCCAAATAATAACCAGTTCTTAATAACAACCTAAAAGTGCCTATTACATCAACTTCCACCGATTTGTCATCGCCCACATAGATGTATCTTTCACCATCACTTGGCTTTCGGTAGTTCAGGTAGCCCTGCATAGAAATACTTAGATGAGTAGTAGCACTAGAATCTATCCACCAAGTTTTTCTAGGTACTGAAGCTAAATTATCCTCAGAACAGACCAAAGAAAGAACTATACCTTTCTTTGCACGCCAATCGCAATATTTGGCACAATCCTTCTTCACATGTACAGTTTTATTGCAAAAGAAACAAGTTCCTTTGTCTTCCTTCTTTTTCTTTTGTGTTGGACCCTTATGAGCAGTTTCATATTCCTTCCTCTTTTTCTTGCCCTTATCCTTAGAAGTGCTTGCCAAGTGAGCACTTTTAGTCCTTTCTTGCTTCAACCTTTCTTCCTCTTGCACACAATATGAAATGAGCTCATTTACAGATAATTTCTCCTTCTGGAAGTTATAACTGACCTTAAATTGACTGAATTGTCCAGGAAGTGAGATCAATACCAAATGGACGAGCAAGTCATCAGACAGCTCGAGCTTTAGTCCCTTAAGTTTTGAAGCAATGTGAGACATCTCCATAATGTACTCCCTTATATTTCCCTTGCATATATACTTCATTGAAATCAAGCTCTGCAAAAGAGTGCTTGTTTTAGCCTTATCGTTTTTCGCAAAACGCTTCTCAATTTCAGCAAGGAACTCCTTGGCATTAAATACCTCTTCGGTATCTGTACCTCTAAGGGCTTCCGGAATGCCACGCTTAATGAACATTAGACTCATGTGATTTGAGCGATCCCACTTCTCAAAGTTCCTCTTTTCATCAAGTGAACTTTCTTCCGTAAGAGAAGTAGGTTGCTCGGTCCGAAGAGCAAAGTCTAGATCCATGCAGCCAAGAACAATCAATATGTTCTCCTTCCAATTCTTGAAGTTTGTCCCATTAAGTAAGGGAATAGAATTAATATTGGCAGATATAGTAGCAGATGAGCTAGCTGTAGAGAGAACAAAATTAAAAAAAAAAGATTAATTATGCTCGATTTAATATCCACATTTAATAATTGATAAATTCAAATAATGGTAAATTCCATCTCAAGATACCTAGTGCAACATCAATTTCAAGTCTTTGGATAGTAATATTAATTGCAAGTGGTACTCTCAGTGTAGTGATCAAACATTGACAATAACTCCTATCAAATAATAAACCCATCTTTGGATTGATTTATTATTCACATGGAAACCTTATAATTGTCACACATTCATCACCACAAGTGTGTATGTAATGTCGGCTAATTTTCGCATGAAAAGACACACACACAACATTCAAGCATCCTAAACAAACCAATCTACACAAAAGAGGTCACTTTGGTGACATATTGATTCAATTAGTTTACTTAAAATGCTAGACAACCT